TGCCCGCAGAGCAGCCCTCAGGGTCTCCACGGCGGTGTGACGCGTGTCCGCGGGCACCGCTTCAGCGATACGGAAGCAGCTTTCCGGTGCCCCGCGGGTTCCTGTCCCTCCCGCCCCGGTCTGAGGCTGCAGCCCCGTCAGAGTCGGGATCAAGGGCCTGTGCCCAGCTGTGCCGGTTCCATGGTGCTGGGCACATCGCACTCGAAGTGCTGTGTCATTGTGCGAGAGAGCTGGAAACAAGTGCAGGACAAACTTGATGCATCTCGGCTCTGGAGATGAGACTCGCTAGGGAGAGGGGGGATGGGGGGGGGAAACTGGGTATAAGGTGGAAAAAAGCGTGAAAAGGAAATAACGTGCGCTGTAGTTATTCTGAATCTCTTTACCTTTTGAAGCGCAAATACTTATGTGTTGGTTTGCTTTTCATAGGTACAAATATACTGAATGAGGAAATTAAATCTGGACTTCAATAAAACAACTTAGTGTCCTTTTACAGATATAATCTATAAGATGTCTCTTAGGGCATAATTTTTTTGTCTATGTCCTTAATTCTGGGAATTGTCTCAAGCTGTGGATAGTGAGAAATTATGTAAAACATGATGGATGAAATGTCAGGGTTGGTTTTTTTTTGTGATGTCGTCATTATATGTGATTTTTTTGTGGCCTTACAAGCTTTTGGTGTTCTGAATCCTTCAGTACCAGTAAAAGTAATATTTTTGCACTTACTGACGGAAAAAGTTATTAATGTAGTTGAGATGGTAGCTAAACTAAACTGAGAAGACTAGCCCTTCTTTTCCATACATGTTTCCTAAACAGACAAAAAATGTTTATCTTATTTAATGTAAATTAAGTGTTGGCAGCAGGGATGAAGGAAGTCTTTGAAGCATGCTTTTGACCCTGGGATTCGTCAGAGAACTGAATTGCTCTTACAGAAGGTGAAATTAATTCTACTTGAATCTAGGTGTACTACTAAAACCAAGTAGTGTGCGAACTTTCTGGATAGAACAGAGATTTATTAAAGAGTGACCACAGTCAGGCTTCTTGCTGATCTATCTTGCAAAAAATAAGAACCTCTAAAGAGGCCCATTTAAATCTTCAAGTGAGATAATAGTGTTGAGAGGTTATAAAAAATGTTCAGACCACTTTGGATGTTATCTTCAGTGCTTAGGAAAGAATCATGATAAATATGTGCTCAAACCCAAGCCAAATTGTTGTTCTTTCAAATTAAAACACCACTTTCTATGCAGCAGAGAAACTTTGTGTTCTATTACCCAGTTTTTGCCCAAAGGAAATCAGATAATGCAAACTTATGTTAACGGATAAAAACACTGGCTTTTTGGGAATTTCTTTTATTCCAACTTAAAATTCTTCTTCAAGCCATTTATCAATTCAAGTTTATGTATCAAAAGCAGATGTGTCCTATTTTTATAGGACACTTTATTTGAAGTATAGCATGATAGATTCAAGTGTATGTGAATTGGTCACTTAAGAACTTTTTGCACAGTGCTTTTCAGAATGTAAGATGTAATGTGTAAAATGATAGGATTTTAGGTTTTTTATCCTCTACTCTAAAAACTGTTTTTTGTTTTCCTTTTCAAGTGCAAAATATGGCAATCAGTGATCAGTGTATTAAAATATTTTTTTAAGGAGTCCAGCCATGACAAGTTTATAAAAATTGATTTTGTAATTTTGGTGTATATTAGTAATACTTAGTGGTTGCAGGCTCTCAAATGCTCTTAATACTCTCAATCCCAGATAATGCTGTATCACTTTTTACTTTTATTTAGTCACAGGCATATAATGTAGCTGGGAATAATAACTTTAGTATGCAATTCTGGGGTGAAGTGTCAACATACAGATACTGTAGAATCTTGTAGCTACAGTGATGAGAATATAATTTAGGCTTTACTTTCACTCTCTCCCCCCCAGCGTGGAAGATGACATGGGCCTTTTTGACTCTTCTCAGTGTGATTTGGAGCATGTTTTCACAGTCTCCCCAACTGACCTTTTATGATTGAAGCTGCTATTTGTTGTGCTGGGTACTAGTTACTAGGATTTTGGTTTTTTTCAAATTTGTAGATCTGTCTGAGCTACTTGCATGTTAGTAGGTAGAAAAGTTTGACTTTGTGTTCATTTTAAACTATTTTGAGTTTTGTTTTTTGTATCTTTAAAATCCAGATAAATGATGAGTGGTAAAGCTTTTTTATTTTGACAAAAAAAAAGTCCGTTGCATATAAATAGGCAAAGCTTATTGCAGGTAGTTCTAAAATAAAAATCCTTCCTTTTGGGCAAAAAGCAGTACAACTAAATTAAAATAATGCATTTTTTTATACTGCCTTTTTTCTTCACATTTTCCTCCCAGTTCCTTCTTTTGCTGTCCTTAGGACCAGCATCTATTCTATGCTCCTTCATCTATTCCCATTAAATAATCTATTTGAGTAGGGAAGTTTAATTGTAATGCCTTCTACATGTATGTGTCTTTAATCAGTTACAAATGGATTTTCTTGTCCTGGTGAATCTCAGATACTAATTTTGTTGCCTGTCAATGTTAGAAGAAGGAGGAGAAAATGCGAGGACCAATCTCCTCATTCTTATGAAGTTAGTTAACAGTGAATTAGTTTTTAATCTTTTACCCTACTAGCTTTTTTCCCCCATACCTCCATCAATGTTTAATGTTACTTTGGGCCTTAGTCTGGATGGGCAGCAGATGGCTTACTGAATTGTAAGGGGAAGAATAGTGTTATCTCTTTAAATATACTAACAGACTTCGAGAAATACAAGGTTACAAGTGTCAAGATTGGGGTGCTGCTTATTTTGGTAAGGTTAGAAAAAACTTGGTGTCTGTCAGTAAAAGAAACTGAGAAACTGTGTTCCCCAGTGAAGTAAACTGACTTGTATTTACCCAGTGATTCTGAGCCTTCCTGATTTTTCATTTTTGTTATTTTTCTAAACTAACTAGTTTGACTGTAATTTTTTTTTTTTGTAACGAAGCATTAAGTGGATGATCAGTAATTTATCAAGTGTGATGTGTCACATTATAAGAAAAATAGAAATTAAGTTAGCAAATGGACAGTTAGTGTCTTGCCTTTGTAAGGAAACAGCTTCTGCTGTTTTAGGAACCCAGAAGCAGCTCGTTATGGGTAGCAACTGCTGTTTGCAGATGCCTTTTTCAATTTGCCTTTGCTTCTGCATCACAGATACGTGTTTGGCCTTTATCCATACGCTATCAGCATCTGATCTGAGTGAACTGAGGATCTGTGTGTATGTGTTTTGGCAAAAGCATTTGATACATATTTACTTTTTTAATCAGAAAAAAAGTATTTAAATACAAACCTGGAATTGTACACTTTTTGTTGAGCTTTTAGGAGTCAAGTACTCAGTATTGCTTTCTTTTTACAATGGTGCTACAGCTTGTCCATTTGTATGCAAAATGTCCCTTATGAATGTGTAATCCTGCAAGCCACGATGTGAAGTGTAATAATTTTTTTTTTTTACCAAGTTGCATTTTTATTATAATTCAAGAAATTGTGGGGTGTTTTTTAGATCTTTCAGTGCTTTTTGATCTCATAAACACTTAAATATGGTCCACACTTTTCTGTTAAAGAGAGGTATTTCTTACCAGCTGAAGTCTACCTTACCCAGAGGCTGAGCTAATCTGTCAATAAGACATGGTACCAAAGCAACGCAGCATAGAGTATTTAGACCTCTTTTCCTGTCTTTAGATTGGACTGGTTTAGATGAAGATGAAGATGCGCATGTCTGGGAAGACAATTGGGATGATGACAATGTCGAAGATGATTTCTCCAATCAGTTAAGGTAATTTTATTTTTAACTTACTGTTCTAGAAGATGGGTAAAATGTTTAAAATGGCATTGTTTGTAGTTAATATCTGAAAGTTTGGAATCTGCTTACTTTAGAAAATAGAGATCTGAAACTAAAATAAATGAAAGCTCTGCTTTGCGTTTTTCTATCTAAAGCCTTTCAGAACAAGACTTAAGGGATTACAGCACAGTTTGAAGTACTGATCAGCATTTCATCTTTTAATAATTGTACTGTGAGCCCTGAAATATGCCTAATGTCACTGACGTGTTCAGGCTTTTGTGGTGTTACACAACTTAGTACAAAGATGTCTCCAAATTGTGATAACAGTTGACACTTTTTCAATTTAACACGAATAAATCCTTTTCTAAGGACTTTCTTACATGTGTGTGAAAATTCTGAATTGTACTGCAAAGATTAATGGCAAGGGATCCAAGATTATCTCTTCTATGCTATGTGGTGTGCAAAATGTGTTGTTATACATTTTTTTATACCTTCAAGTAGCATTGCTGTTCTTTGTCCAAATGGACAAATCTTCCAGAGATCAGTTATCTGTATTAATGTTAAGGTTCCCTTCTTGTGTGTGATGAGCATGCTGTTTATGGGCAACAATAGTAAAGTAATTGTTGTTAACGTGCTTTAAAAAAAGTGATCACAATTTGGGTACCTCTAATCCAATTGTTTAATCCTCTTTGTCACTTGTAGTTTCAGTTAATCCTTTACTGATGCATAATTATAATTTAAATTGTTTCAAGTGTCAATACAAACTCACATTTTATAATTAATCCTTCAGTATGTTGCCTGAGGAGCAAGCTATCTGTAATACAGCCTGATTAAACAGTTCCTGGGTTGATCTCCCTTGTTGTACTCTGGTGAAAGTGATCCTTTATATAGAAGATACAAAAATAGTTTTTGGTATAGTTGTTTCTTATAAGGTTGAAAGGCAGTTAAACTGTAATATTGGAAAACAAGTTGGTATGTAGTGAAACAGATCTTCGAGGGATAGCGTAATTCTTGATAAACCCAGTTGATCTCGACAAACCTTCAATAACTGTGCCTTAATTGTAGCCTGTAGTATTGGTGACTGTATACTAGTGTTAAGGTGATAGTTTGCAACGTTGCTTGGTTGCAGCATGTTTTTATTTCATCTTTTCAAAGAAAATGCTGAGGTCCTCCACTTCTAAAATGCCACTACTAAGTATGTAAATTAACCTGAAATATTCTTAGAGATTTGGACTACTGTATCTAGATACACCTAGGAGATAAAACAGGATGCAGTTCTGGCTGGTGTGTTTGGAGGCAGGGGAGAAGCCAAGTGGCGACAGGGCAGGAGCGATAACATTTGCGGTTGCTGACTTGCTGTCCTGGCCACAACTAAGGGGAACAAAGCAATCCTTTTCCCTCAGAATTGTTCACTAGAAGGTATATTGCACTAAGATTTAAAAATAGCGCACTCTGGTATTTTTATTTAAAACAAAGAAAGAAAAAGCTGAAATTACTTTGGAAGTACATGCATTTAAATCGCTCAGATTAGTGAGCTCATTTGGTTTAAGATAATCTTGAGAATAACTGGTGTAAGATAATATTTGTTTTTTTCTAATGTGTCTGGAGTTGTTGCAGGCTCACAGGTGCTGCTTTGCGCCCTATAGTTGTACTCCAGCCATGGTGGGTCAGAGGGCAATAACTATGATTAAAAAAAGTATTTGAATTTTTCACTTAGAAGTCACTTCTAGTGATCTAAGATATTAAGCTGAAGTTGAAGAACTATGGAGTAAGTGAGGTTAAGGTTATTGGTATGAACCAAAAAGCATATGACATGTTCATATTCTAAAATGATTGTATATTGTGCAGGATATTTCATTTTGAAAAATTCGAATGTCTGACAGTATTTTATTTGTATGTTTTAATATACCTATCTTTTTTCTATACAGAGCTGAATTAGAAAAACATGGATACAAGATGGAAACCTCATAGTTTTTGCTGAATATGGAGTGGTTTAACATTGAACTGTGGATAGACTATATTGAGAAAAGAAGAAAAGGTGGAAAATGAGAAGACAGTTCATTGTCTGCTTGGATTTATTATTGTTTTGTATAAAAAATAAAGTTTTTAATCTTAGCCTAGTCATACATTCAGCCTCTACTAAACTGGTAACTTGTATTTTGGTTCTGAAATGCCTTGTGTGACAGAATTCATGGACTTATCTAGAATGCTACTAATGATCTTTCAGTGGCTGATGCTATTGCACCAGCTCCCGTCATGGGGAACCAAGTAAGCATTACCAGAATGAAGACTAGTGAATGTTTCTGTCATAGGGCATGTGGAGATGTCAAAAAGAAATAAAATACTCATGTATTCCAGTTAAAATGCAGCAGACATAGGAAGGAGTTTTGGGGAGTGATAAAGCTTATTTTGCTTCAAGATTTTATTTCATAATGACTTGGGTGTTTTTTTGTTAGTAATTTCATGTGGGTACCAGTTTGATAGCCTCGAAAGATAAAACACACTTCAACGTGCATCTTACAACAGCAGAAATCCAAACTCTCCAATCTTGTCCTGTCAGTTCTTAAGCCTGTTGAAGAGGAGACCTCTCTCGAAGTGAAAGAAGTTCTGTTCTCATGCTTATTTAAGCCTAGGAATCTCTGCTGAAATTGCCTCCAATTTGCCAGTTACAGCAGTTCATCTGTATCACACAAACATGCCTGCTGAGAACGGAAGTCAAACTTCCCACTCATTTCATGGAGGCCAACAAACAGTTGCCAGATAGATAGAGCAGTAGTGACTGGATTCGATTACTCTCAACTAGAAATCAGAAGGTGGAAATTACAAAACCTATTACCTATTGTATGAATCCTCCCCCAAAGGAGCTGTTAAAGCTGGTATACACAAAGACATAGGGAGATACGGCGATCCTGGAAGTGTAGGCCATGATTGCAAGTTTTAAAAAAAATTTTCTTTTTTAATAAAGAAGGCAAATACAGCTGTGTACTCATGGCATTTGAATTAGCTGCTTGCTTTTTCAGCAGTTCATTGTAGAGAAGCAGAGACTTAATTGTTTTTTAAAGTAAGCTTTCAGAATAAAGGTATTAGTTGATGGACATGCAATAATGGTATTAAATGCTTTAACCTTGTTAACTAAATAGCTGAGTATCTTATGTTGTAATTGCATTTATTAATGCGAAATGCTAGGAAGGCTTCCCCCTCCCCAAATTATTTAGGTGGCGCTGTATTTATAGTGGAGGCTAGATTTGCTGTGACCCTTACTGCTTTCTGAAGATAGCTCTGTAAAGACTGAGACCTTCCATTGCCATCTGAATGTTTCTGCAAAACTAGGTGTTTCAGATGGTGTTGGATGCCTTCGGTTTCTCCCGTTCTATATGGCTTGGGAAAAGAAAGTGAGGCCCTTTCAGATAGACTTGCCCTGTGCTCAAGTAAGTGACTTGTTCAGATTGAAATGTGTGGCTTGCGCAGCCCAATTCAGTAGAATACAAAGTCCTGGAGTTCATATTTTGACAAGTAAAAAAAGAAGAGTCTGTGTATCGAGCAGCAAATAGCAACGCAAACATCCTGAAGTCAGTGTTGGGAGTTTAAGAAAAAAGTACTTTCAGTACAACTCTGGAATTGCTGGTGTTATTAACACATCAATATTGGGAAGTTGAGTAATGAGACTGACCAAAAGAAGATGACAGAAAAATTATGGAAACCTCTGGTGCAATCTTTGGGTAGGGACAGCTGCTTTCCATTACAGGATTCTGGAAGCCTCACTCAAGCAGCCCTGTCCCATCAATTGCTAGCAGCAGGAGGAAGCTGCTGAGGTAGAAAAGCATCTTTGCCTCCAGAAATCTTTCATGGTTTTTGCTGAGCCACAGTTGTCTCGTGTTAGTATCTTTTTCTGCTTTCTTCACAAAAGCAGAATTGGAAGGGAAGCCTTAGGCTGAGGTAGCCTGCTGGCTCTGCACTCTTGCAGTAATAACCTTCAGCTGGTAGCACATGACCTGAAACCCCCAGATGAAAAAAAAAAAACCACAACAACTCTGCTTTGAAGGTCGGTTTGATGATACTGTCTATGTAATGCTGTCTGCATAAGAGAATTTGTTGCAAAGGAGTAAACAAGAAGTCATGTGCAAAGTGGTATGAGAATGTAGCTTATTGCAAAACCAAGCAATGGAGGCTGATGGCCTGTCTAATTACCACTCATTAATTTTTTTGCCCTCAAGTTTATTGTGTTGTTATACGGATCCTCTTATTTTAAGCTTTCTAGTATAAAAATGACTTGGGAACCTTTCTACTTCAGATTGGCTGTTTTATTTCTTTCTAAAAATTTTAGAACCCAGCTGGTTTTGAGACTAAAGCTGAAGACTTTTTTTGCCCATTTTTTTTCATCTTTGACAGGTTTGGTGTTCTAGAGGGAAGCTGAGGTGGTTGTCCGGGATGTCACTGTAGCAATTCACCCTAATTTGCCTGCTACGCAACTTTAAAAGGAAGTAATCTTTCCATGTGCTTGGGGGCTTGGGTTTTCTAGATTGGCCATGCTGGGAGAGGTTTTCTTTGGAGGTCTTTCCTGGAGATATTCCAGTGATCCCTGTTAGCTGGGGAATGCATGAAGTGCGGGAGATAGGAATGATTTGAGGATGTGAGGGAGGACAGGCTGAGAGAAGACAGGGATTTGGGTAGGAGGATCTGCAGCCTGGCAAGGGTGGGAATGTGGTGGAGAGAGGGAGGTTTGGCAAAGATCTGAGCACAGCAGAGGTTGGGCTTTCTAGTTCAGAAAGTAGGACAACACGTGGAGGTGTGCATGTGGCGATTGTCTGGGCGTGGACTGCTGGGTAGTCTGTTCCCCATTGTGGGAAGGAGATTCAGGTCACGAAGAGGTTGACATCACCCTGTGTTTGGGGACCTAACCTCACCAGCCCGTCCCTCAGCCGAACCCTGAGACTCTTGGACACACTGTCATTAGTCTGAGGCATGCCGGGGTGTGCGGCATGCGTCTACAGCAATCCTCTACATAAAGATTGAGGTGGTGTTTTGCAGCGTGGGGAAGGTTGACTCGCTCTAGCCTAGGTGCTGAGGATGTCCCAAGGCAAAGCACCGTTCAGGTAACTCGGAGGAAAGCTCTGAAGGGTCCCTGCGTGCTAATGAGCTTGGCGCTCTCGCTTTCCTTGATCCTTAAGAAACTATGTACACGTAAGAAGAAATGCAGTCACAGGTAAGCACACAAATGGTGAGCAGTCCGAATTAAGGCTGTCAGGAAAGCCTTCAGTTCAGCTCTTTTGTCTCAGAAAAGCCTTTGCTGTTTTCCCATCGGGTCCCTGCCTCCCTCCGCTAGCTTGCACAACAGCACGAACAGCTGCCCTAGATGCTTTCTGCTCTTGGGTCACAGTGCGTCCTGTTCCCTGCTTATTGCACCGTGTCCACACTGTGCTGAGCAGAACGAGTAAGTCTGGGTCTCCGAATCGGCAGTCTGCGTGCTTTGCAAATGCTCTAATACATTTTCCACCATCCCTGGGAGACGGAGAAGTGTTTTCCCCTCTTTGAAGTGTACGCTCATTTTAAGTGCTCGGTGTGAGACCCCAGGACTTCATGTTTCACTGGATTCGGTAGTATGTAAAATACCCTCCATGTTCGGATGTTTCTTTAGCTTCAGTTACTGCTGTGCATATTCAGCATTTCTGCTGATCAGGATTTATGGGGTATCAAGTCAGCCACCCAGAAAAGGAGGAACACGCATTACAACCTTTGCAGCTTTTGTAAGGAATGAGGCAAGGACTCCACAAGTCGCTACCTTCCCCTGCTAGCTTTTTCTTGAACCTTATTTTTTCTTATCCTGTTTTTTTTTGGACACTAATAAAGACTAATAAGTCCCCTGAGGGTTGGGGTGAGTATAGGAAAATACATGATCATAAAATTAAAGGCTATGAGAATAAATATGTATGGAAAAAGGAATTTATATTGCACAGAGTTACAGTTCCAGCATTTCCTATCTTTTAAGTGTCTGACTTTACAGCCCTAATAATAATCTTTTAATGCAGGTATGGTTTTGTGTTTGCATAATAATACAGTTAAATTTTATTTAATTCCAAGGCATGCAGGGAAGTAAGAAGATTGATGCCCAGAAAGTTTTTGTGATGGAATTTTACTAAAGAATGAATGTTATGTAACATTTCAACACACCGAGATCCTTCAAGACGAAGTGTGTGATATAAATGTAAAATATTTGCAAACTATAATTTAGCAACCGTTTTAAAATCACAGTCAGTATTCCAACCTCTTACATGCGGTGGGTGAGATCCTTTGTCAACTGAGAGCTAAGGGCAGTGAATGTGAGATTCATTAAGTAATTATATACGAACATTAATTTCAAATTAATTTCAACAGTTGTCTTAGACATTAGCAACCAAATTAGCAGGCCAAAGGCAAACAGTAATGCGGCTTAATACTTTTAATAAATGAAGGCATTTGAAGTTATTTACATAAATCGGATGATAAGCCCTCATTTAATGAGCTTCCACATACTCCCCGCCTCCCCTTCCCGTTCACCTTTGCCGGTTTCCAGGATGTGGCCGTGCTCGGCATCTCCCCAGCTCTCTCATTACGTCGTGCTTTTCTCAAATCCTTCCTACGTTGGCTTCAAAACAAACAGTCAGACTTTCTGGAATTTGTTAGCGTGAGCTGGAACCTTTTAATGCTTCTGAATCTGCAGCGCTGGGAGGCATGGTGAAGGAACGGAGCCACCATTGACAAGGCCCCCAGGAAAATGAATGGTGGAGAATAAAAAAAGCAGATTAGGGTATTGGGGGATGCTTGCCTACGGGCAGGGCAGGGAGATGAAAACCAGCCCATCAGCAAGTGAATGGGTCACATGTAATGGATAATGACCAGCCCTTTTTATCTTTTCTGCACTGAGCTCAAGGCTCTTAATGAAAAGGAACAGGCACTGGTCTGGATTTACATTGCACCTGATGGAGGCACGGCAG